CTAAGAACTGATTAATTCAGTGTATCTAATAATGCTTAAGTCACTGTCTTTCACAAAACACTTTTACTCAAAATGTGGAACAACTGCTAAAACAGTCTTAGGGCAGTTTACCACAGTTAATGTTCACAACTGGAGATCCCCCCCGGGGGGGGGGGCCCTTCTTCGGAACGTTTCAGTGAACCTGGAGTCGCAGAACCACAAGCCCGACACACAACTGCGCCGTTAAACAACTGCACGTGACAGGATTCTCTTACAGGCGGGCTTTCGAACAAAAACACCGGAAGGACCTCGAAACACCCGTACACACCGGCAGCTGAATTGTACGAAACTGGGTAGGGACTGACTGGGCAACGTCGCTCAAATAATACGAAGTAAACAGGACCAAAGGTGAATCGGATAACAAACTCAAAGTTACTAACGAACGTCTTATCTTTTATCACAGCCGTTGCTTGAATCCACTGTCCATACTCAAACAAGGACCAAGTTCATGTCATGGAGACGTATGGGAGAGTGGAGGTAGTGGTGAGCTTTACGCTCCGGCCAATTTACCCCAATCGCAGGAGGCTGGATGGGCTCCAGGACAGGTTTAGTCGCTGTGACGTAGAAAATAATCTTACTCTGCCTGAAATCGAAGCTTGGTCGTCCACCCCGAAGCCTTGTGCCTACTGGCTAGCAACTTACAACGCGCCCAAACAGAATTCCTTGCGAATGACTCGTATAAAACTGTCACTTTGCCTAATTAAGCACTGCACTTCGATGGCGGATGGCCAATGGAGACATAGCTCCGCATTAAATTCGGCACTACGTGGGAGGTGAGTTGCTAGCTTCATGCTCCGGCCACATTACCACCGGGGTGACGACCTTGTCTAGGATTAAAATGACCCGTTGTCATATGGACCAATAAAATGACAGAACTCTAAACTCTACAGGAAATCACCTGAAGACGAGAGTACGACAAACCCCCGAAACGCTTCTTCAAATATACCTCAGACGATGGGCAATGCCCAACGCGGTTCACACAAGCAAAATAAATCAACCACTGTCACAAGCCTGGACAGAATCATTCATTACACAAGTGTGTCAATCAATATCATATCACCCTCTTCCCTTAGAAACACCAAAGTTTCTTCATTCTTAAGGTTTTCTTTACGATAATACAAGAATTATGCCGAAATATTACGAACTAAACTCGAGTGCCAACCCCCTCAGGTTGAAATCTTAAAGCAATTGGTGTAAAACGTCCGTTCATATTCGGGGGGGGAGTCAACTCTCGCCAACAGATTTACACAAAATACCCACGCTTGTGCCACGTGAATAAATAAAACGTTCACGCCGCTCCAAACCGATGTTCCATCTGAATCACAGTGAGTTATTACTTCCAAAGATCCAACGTTGTGAGCCGTCAACGAATAAAATCTAGTAATCCTGAATACGAACTCGTAAACAGACCTCAGCACAAAATCGAGGGTGTGAGGCTCATTTCATATGTACGCCATACGATTAACTAATGACATACACTTTACGTGTGAATAATATTAAATACCCTGGCTTGTACCAAATGTCACACTAGACAGATAAGAGGCCTACATATAATTGAACTGGAAACCACTAACCCTAAACATGACGTAATCCAGCTGTGTATAAAGGCCAGAGTTTACGAAACAATTTCTTCAATTTCAATACAAGTTGTGGTTAATTTCCAGCGACAAACATGCAAATTAGTATATTTACTTCCCAAGAAATGAAAAGATCTACAAAAATGCTAAACCACAGCGGCCATACAAAGCTTTAAAATGTACTCTATACATTCCAGATTACACACAAAATGAAAAACGTAGGAACACGCTTTTCTTGTCACAAACAAAGTAACCTACTAGACCTGAGGTTATCACAGCGGTAAGGATGTTGCTGCCGGTCTTTCGGACTGCGGACTCGCAGGTAAATCGGTTGAAACGCCTTATGGGCTTGTAGGCAGATATAATAACTATGGATAGGACTCTACCTACACGTAGGATCTGAGGTTTTCACGGCGCTGTCTCAAGATGGCTGTCTTCTGGGTTGTTGTGCCGTGTAGTCTGGTCGATGTTAGCCGATGTTACCGACGTTTCTGAGGTCCTTGCTGCCTCCATCAACAGCAAACACCTCTATAAACGAAGATTCCTGTCTTCTGGGTTGTTGCGCTGTGTAGCCTGGTCGATGTTAGCCAACGTTTCAGAGGTGATACTGCCTCCGTCATCAGCGCAACAACCCAGAAGACAGGAATCTTCATACTCACCGCTGTGAAAACCTCAAATCTTACACCTCTATAAACGTCGGTAAATTTCTACCAGACTGCACGGCGCAACAACCCAGAAGACAGCCATCTTCAATCTAACTACAAGTTCACAAGACATTAAAACCCAGAAAACCAACATCGGCAAATGTACCCGTGTTCCATCCTGCCCATATGATCACAAGAAGAAAAACTCACCGGACAGACGGATATCTCGGTAAGGGAAACAGTTTGAAGATCTCTCCTAGACTCTGCACTTTAACTGAACTCAAGTCCGCTGATCACTAGCAGACTGTATGAAAGATTTGAACTGGCTTCAACGCGTCCAAGAAGTGCTTCGTGCTATGATTCAACCCCCACTGAACTGGCTTCACTCTGTGACCATACCACAAGCCCCCCTCCCTCTCTCTCTCTCTCACATACACACTTCTTCCCCCACGGACCGAGTAAATGCCTGGAAAAAGACCCATACCCCAACACAAGCAGAGACGCTGATGCCAAAGACTACCCTCTACCGAGAAGAATGAAGCTCTTTAAACGCTTTGGCAGGTAATAAAGTTCGCGTCTGGCGTTATATTTACCTCTGTTCTGTGGAAAATCGCCTTCAGAATCTCTTTTTCTGAAACGTTGCCGGTATCAGACTCAGCCTTCAGAACAATTGGTAATTTATTCAATCCAAAATGACAGATGTTAGACCAGGACATAAGCCAAACACTGCGAGCGTAGGGTGGGTCAGGGAAAACGGGAACAGCTCACACTTCCCCCCCCTTCCCGTCAACCCCTCACACGCACTCACCCCTCACACGGCAATTCCAAGAACTACAAAGCCTTTTATCCACAACCGAACAAATGTTGCCAACTTTCCGGAAGCGTTACGAGCACTCTGAGAACACAGTCACTAAACGATCTAAACAAAAAGCCATAAACATTCACACATGTGTGCATCTTTATTCAGATTGTTATTAATTCGCTGGCTAAAAAAAAAACTCGTCTACTCAGCCAATTTTAATATTATCCTCCCAACGCAAGAAACTCGTATTGTTCATGCTCTCGGATTAGTGCGGGCCTAATGAACGCACTACTGAGGCGTGTACAAATACTGTTGGCGTTCAAACACGCTGAGCTAACTCGAAATTCTGATATATCACCGTACACAGGCCCATAATCACACAACTGAACGCCCATAAAATCCATGACGGCTCAATGGTCCTCAGGTGCGCCAACCAGCCCACAATATGACACTGGAACGCATACCTAAAGGATTGTCTTTCTGGAAACGCGATGTATTTGCGAAATTAGCGACCACCGCCGTGTCCTTATGACCTCTGACGTAAAAATCATCAATCACTTAGTTACTTATTCTATGGGCGTCATTTCTCATGCGTGAGACCCTTCGGTGAAAAATATATATTATAATACTTACCAGAGACTTACCAGAGGAAACAAGCTGTGTATTGAGAAACCAAAAACCACGTACACCGTGAAAGAATAATAATCGAATAAAGGTGTGGCACTGTTAATACCAATCAATGCCGACTCTACCCACCTCAGATCCTCGCAACCTGCTTTCAATAAAATTCAGCTTAATGTTGCCCTCCAACCTCCTCGATTTCCAAGCGGATTCCCTACCAAAAATCTGTATGTATTTATTAGACTCTCCACCCTCATCTTTTGCCCAATAGCCTTCCAATCTTCACTGACTGCCGGTATCAAATTACTATTAAGTTATATAATTACTTGTTCATTTAATTCGTATTACACAGACCAAACACTTTTCTGGTCACTTTCTGTTCAGACGCTTGCAATTTACGTTCTACTAAGAGTTCGGCATAAACAGGATTTCTGGCTTTAAATCGGTCAAAAATGCATACGAATACCTGAAGACGACACTGCAGATGTGGGAATGTGAATTAGCCCTACGCATATGCACATCGATTATTTAATATAATAATTCTGCGAAGGTTACACACCACAAACAGGTAACTCCGCTTACCACAGAATAAGAATCCTTCAAGCAAGACGATGGATCCATCTTGCGTCTTCACGCGCGTGTTAGAAGTCGGGAGCAAATACAGTGTGACAGAAAGCGGAACACGCTGTATAATTTCCTTGTTAATAAAAGGTTCTCCAGCTGTGGCCATGCTTTCACAAACAAATCGACGAAAAAATGTATTATCTACGCCAGACACCAGACGGCACAGACTGAGTTACATAAAAAAAAAGCTTATAGCCTATATTAGTCGTGAGAAGTTGATACCGTTAGAGAAAGCAGCATAAAGATGCAAATAACACAAATACTATCTAATTACACAGGACTACTAAATACATTTTAATTAAGCAACGAATACTCAGAATACCCTCTTGTACCAACGTTTCAGAGGTCCTAGCTGCCTCCATCAGAAGGACGATAAGTTATCGCCCTCCGAAACGTCAGTAAACTTCTACCAGGCTAACATGGCGCTACATTCCAGAAGACAGCCATCTTCGGAAGCAGCCGCCGTGAAACCTTCAAATCCCATCCACTTTCTACCTATTCTAGCCATGTCTTAGTGTGCATAATCAATGTTACAATTCTACGTACGTTTATTTCATGAAAAGACAAGAGACAGAAAACCAAAACCACAGGACAGTCTGGAAGGACAATTATTTTAAATAGGGAATTTCATTAGACAAAAGAGGACTGCATTGTTAATGGTCAACCAGGGAAAATCATTTTCCTGTGGCCTACCTTCCTTCGACCTTTATCGGCGTGTCAGTCGGCATTGTTTGCAAGAAGTGCCGTGCGGCCGGAGGGGGGATGGAAGTCGTTAGTCCCTGACCCTGCCTCTGAGCCCTTAGCGAAGCCCACGGCTGGACCTTCATAATTTTGTACCAGGACGCTGGCGAACCTGAAACGATGCCATCACGTACGTATTCCAGTCAGCCTTTCCCGATCTGGGAATTGGGAGTCTCTGCAAGCTTTTGTTTGCTGATGGATGAATAATATATGCAGTGAGAGACAAACTTTGTCCCAATGCGATCAACGCCAAGATAACCATCTCTAACCTCTTCATGTCCTGTAAAGGCGTCTCAATAAGACATTCTTAATTCTACTGATTCGTATCTTACAGGTTGCATAATTACCAATTTAGGTATACAGATGGTAGCTCCTCACACTGAAATGTGACATTTGTGGCATCATCACAGTTACGATTGTATAAGTAACGTTCATGCACACATTTGAGAAATGAACAAACTTCTTTCGTTAGAAGGCAGTTTTATTAGATTTTACTATATACTATAAACAAGCCTACAGCACACGTTCATTTCATCAGATGACAAACAACTATAATTATAATTCTTACAATCACAGCACAAAAAAATATTAAAGGATCTATCTACTATCTTCTGTGCTTAACCAGTGAACTGTATATTTTTCACAACTCAAGTTTTTTTTAAAAAATGCGTAGAAAATACGTATTCTACAAAAAAAAAAGGGGAATGCAAAAATAATCTGTCAAAAAAGTAGTGAATGAACAAACACATAAAAAACATGAAAAAAATAAGTAACTCAACTTAAAAGTTCCAATTAACGTATTAACCATACGAGGTGCGATCGGAAAGTTTCCAGACTGCGCGTATAAAAACCCGTACACTTATCTCAGGTATTAAATTCATCCATCACCCTTGAAGTAGTTCCCCTGGGAGTGACCACAACGATCCCAGCGCCGCTGCCAAGCCTTGAAGCATCCCTGGAAATCTTTCTTTGTCAGCCTGTCAAGCACCATCTGCGATTCTGCCTGAATCTCTTCTATCGTCTCAAATCTCCTTCCCTTTAGCTGAATTTTCATCTTTGGGAAGAGGAAGAAGTCACACGGAGCTAAATGCGGCGATCCGGCAAGATCTTTGAGCTCCTGATTTGTTCATGAAAATCCGCCATTCCGAAATCGCAGGAGGGTCGGTGTAATGCACTACCAAAACGCCCGTAACTAAGAAACAAATGCTAATTCGATGATGCCAGCTGGCACAATGATTCACTATGAATGTAGGCCGCACCCCCTAAAGGCAGAAGCTCGTACTACATCCGGTTCGCCCGCTATTGACACAGTCTGTAAACTTTCCGATCGCACCTCGTACTTCATGCGTTCCCCATTTCAAACGCATTAAACGTATTGCACTAAGTCACACAAATATAAAATAAATAACCCACCTGATCACTTAAAGACAAAAGCTCTTCTACGTAATATTTAAGAATTGTGTCCTTCCGTACCTCAAAGAAAACAACGCTATTAGCCTCATCGTCCTAGTTATGGAGGGAGCAAGGACCACCGAAAAGCTGGCAAACTTCTTATAGAGCAGTGGTATTCAACCTGGGGTACGCGTACCCCCAGGGGTACGCGAAGCTATCTTAGGGAGTACGTGAAATTTAAAAAATATATATATATTATTTTATGATAAACACTGAATAATCAGTAATGTAATTTATTTAATTTATTTTAGATGTAGATTGTATACTATGTATAACTTGAATTAAACACCAACAACTTTGGGGGTACAAAGTTTAAGAGAAATTATATCTGGGGGTACACGAACAAAAAAGGTTCTAGAGTACACGGTGCTACAGCACACAAGACGAAAACAAATTTGTTTTAGTTCTACTGAAAAAAAAACCCTGAAACTTTAAAACCATTTCAGAATCCTTTATAGTGGGCGCCATTTGGAATGTCATGCTAAGAGCTTTTATATACGAGTAAGCTAAAAATCACGGGTTATCGGCTGCTTCAATCTGTTCGGAAGCCGACATTCGGCACAAGTGTCGTTGCATTCATAACGTCGCCTAACCAATCCCTGCGTTTGCCATTACTTACCCGCCCGCACCTTTAAAATGACACTTATCCAATCACCGTTCATTAACTGGCGTCTCTGTACGTTGCTTTCATAATTTCCTTTCAATTACGGCTCTGAACGCGTGCTAATGGCATGGCGGAAGAACACTTGCACGACAGGTGACAATTTTTCGTTTATCTGCACCGGTTATGAGACCCAAGGTATTTAATCTGAAAAATAGGTCCAAAAATTGTCTTCGGGTTTTAGCGACTGGAGTTCCACGTCTAATTTCGGCTTTCTGGCGTAAAGCCGCGTGGAATGTTGACGCCGCTTAAAGATCAGTTCCTGGGGTAACGTAAGGTTATGCGAACAATTCACACTCCCCCTTCATCAGTGCGATGAGCAGGCAAGGACCTCTGAAACGTCGGTAAACTTCTACACGGCGCCAACAACCCAGAAGACAGACATCACCGCCGAGAAAACCTCAAATCTTACATAAGAAAACTCCTGGAACGTCGTATAACACAAAATCCTTCTCATACTTAACATGTCCTCTACCATCCACAATTAATGGATTGCGATGGTTCTTACCTACTCCGTTACACTGAGGCCCTCTACTTATGTAACCTCCCCAGTGACCTCGTCCCCCTCTTACCGCCTCGCATCCACCTACAATTGGGAACAGAGTGGAACAGCTGGACGGTCTCAGCTGACGTCAGATTTTGCGTGACTGTCAGTTCCGGTCTGCCCCGGAAAAGCCTTGCCCCACATCAACGGTGCTCATTGCATATTTCCAAGCTGAAGGGAGCGGAGATTATTTCTGACGAAATGACTTAACAATCTAGTAACGGTTAGTAACTCACGGCAACTAACCAAATACCCCACTGTCAGCAAAAATTGAACGTATAAAACGAAGCAAAGTCCTGCCGTCCACACGATACCGGTAAACAAGTAGACATAATACATATTCGCCCTGAATATGGCAACTGCAATGCTTGCCGAAACGTCGGATAATTTCCAAAAATTCGACGCGGTTCAACCCCAAAATCCAAAGCTGCACAATGAGCTACAGCCGCGAAAAACTACGAAAAATTGACAGAAACGTAAAATTTTTAAAAATGGAAACGAAGTTCGTACTGCTATGAATTTTTCTTCGACATTCCAAAATAAACTTTCATCACCCGATCGGGCTACTGTATTTTTAAGCAACGTCGATGACAGACAAGACAAGTAAGTTATCGATTTCTGCAGTTGCAGAGAAACTTCGAATGAGCTACGGCTGGAAACAAGATCACAATGGTACGGTGCTGCCATCTATCCGGCATTCATAAATCAGTACCAAGTGCAGCAATGGATGACAAAATGAGTTTCCAATACATTGTTCAATGTTGTATAGATATTTAGAGAATGCCGGTTGAACAATGGTCTAATAACATTTCTGAATTCCACCTTCGAAAATTGTTCTACATGCCATTTCCGACTAAATTCCGAACATATTCGACGAAGCACCAAGGTCCGAAGTTAACATTAGTGGAAGGAGATCTACAGATCCACTCCAGTAGGACAAAGACAGAAATTACCCCCCCCCCTGGTACTTTGTTTAATATCGAAAAACAGTGAAAAGTTGTAGATTCTGAAACAGACTTGTACAGGCGGTACTCGCCAACCAAGAAATGTAGCCAACTGAGACTGAACGCCTACCTGGGGGGGAGGGACGCGGAAGGAAGTTGAGTCTCGTGTACAGTCTGATCACTGATGTAAAAAAACATCCGGTGGGCTGCCTGCACCCACATCATCACCGGTGTGGTATTATAGAACTCAAAGAGGCACAAACCTGGGAGAAGGTGGCGATGTTCTGGGTTGTGACGCCGTGTAACCTCGTGTGTACACAACCAACGTTACGGAGAAATGCCGTCTCCATACAACTATTTATTTTTTTTTACATCAGATAACCACTCGTCATAAAAAATACACGACAAAATAAAAATGATTTGCGAGCCGCAGAAAACACATCAGCGAGCCACGGGCTGTGACAGCATACGACTGCTTAGAATTTAATAATACCCCAATCGTTCATTCCTTCAGACCCTTACTGTAACTAGCCCTCAGGTAACAAACAACCTCGAGAATCAACACAGCTGTCACCAAAGACGCTCGACTAGGCAAAGTCCGTTCACCTCGCAATCCATTTCCACCTCGGTTTTCCAACATTCTTCACCATCCAACTAAATCACATTCCGGATGTAACCTTTCAAAACAAAAGAATAACAAGATATGCAGAAAGGAGAGAGAGAGAGAGAGAATATATACAAATCAAGATTGTCGTGTTATATCACTTTTACCACAGTGGGAAAGCAAATGGAATACGAGGAAGATGACATATCTACGGTTAATTTTCCGTGTTCCATCTTGCTGTAATGCCTCAAGCTCTGTCTCGTGAGGCGTTGTCATGAGACCGCTCTTTGTGGCGAACAGCTGCCAGCCAGTGTTTCGGTTGGCCGGACTGCTGCCGTCACACGCTGACCAACTGGCACAGTGAAGCTGCTCCTGCCTTCTGCGTCATACCAAGTACGTCCAGCTGTAGACAAAGGCCACGTGCCGCCCCATGCACAGCTGAAGAATACACCCCGAGCGAGTTACTTTGTTCGGAAACAGAATTCATTACATTTCTCCTTCTTCCATCTTAGATACATTTACAATGAAGGCAGGTGCGAAAATTACACGCAAGATGGCAGTGAGGTAGTTCTTACGGAACACAACGCTTGCCTGCATAACAGATTCGAAAGTTACTTAAGTTTAAAAATTTTAAACATCCGAACTTGAATGAGACGCGCATACAAAATTTTAATCGAAACTCTTGTGAAACTTCCCGAGTTTCATAAATGTCTTGAGTACATGAGCGATTAACTGGCTTGTGAAGAACTCTCCGCTCCATGGAGTCGGTAGTAATATTAATAGGAATAATAATTTAATGCTACCTGAAAGCGATAATATATCACCTCTGACATAGAAAACTGTCGTAACTTATACGCGCCGCGCTGATAATATTCATGGCCCAACTCTTGCCTCTTTAACCCTTTGA